GCCTGAGCCCAACCCGATTGTCCACGTACGAACTCGACCCGGGCCTGGTAGGTTTCCACACCCAGTTTCAGGCAGCTTTGCTGATGCCTGGCCAGGTCCGGACTAGGTCTGGAACCACACTTAGAACCCTGGACCGCATCCAGAAAGCCCGGACCCAGATCAAAGCCCGGGCTACCCGGTCCGAACCAGGCCCAGGACCGCTCAACGGCTAGAAATCTAAGCCGTTGGGCTCTGGTCCTGCTCAAAACTAGGGCCGCCTACAAGCTAGTTATTTGGTGGACCGGGCCACTCGGCCCGACCCGGCCCGACCCGGCCCGACCCGGGCCGCACCCGAGCGGGCGGGGGGGGGGGGGGGGGGGGGGGGGGGGGGGGGGCGGGGGGGGGGGGGGGGGGGCGGGGGGGGGGGGGGGGGGGGGGGGGGGGGAGGGGCGGGGCCGGGGGGCGGGAGGGGGGGGGGGGGGGGGGCCCGATACCGGCCCCAGTTCAGACTAATTAGGGGTTGTTTTTTGGTTTTTTTGATGAAAATACCTTCAAAACGGTCAAAAAAGTTAAATTTTGAGGGTATTTGGTCATTTATCTATGGGGTTGCCTTTATAAATAGAGGGGTATTTTGATTCATTTTCTCATCCCAAAATCACTTCTCTTTTCTCTTAATACTCTCTAGTAATCTCTAATACTCTCCAATATTCTTAAATACTCCCTAGTCTCTACTAATCCTTTCTGAATCTCTCAATTCCAAATCTCCAATAGCTTCCTTATTCGATTATTTATGCTTTGATGATGAGCATGCAACTTTGACTCCCGATATGAGTCCTAATATCAAAACCGATAATTCACCCTCGAAAACTAAACTCGAAGATCCAACACCAATATCTAAAAGGCCAAGATCGGGTGTGGGATTTTTTCAAGAAGATTGAAGTAAAAAATAGTAATTGTCGTATTCTCGACCAAAATCTAAAATGTGCTCTTTACATGAGACTAACCACCTCAAACGACATTTAGCGAGCCACAATAGAAGGAAAGGATCCACTCAACCCGATATCCGCCAAACACTTCTCCCTCACTCATCTCCCTCCGAAGCAATCAGTTCATGTACCTACGACATAATTTGATCACAGAAATCGTCATCTGGTTTATTGTTCTTAAAAATATTCCTTTTAAAATGGTAAAAGATGATAATTTTGAAGTTATGATGAAAGAGGGTCATTAACATGCTTTTCAAAAAAAAATTCATCAAACTTGCCAACGTGATATTTTAAAACATTATCAAACTAAAAAAAATTAATTGCTTATTTTGAAAGTTTAAATTATAAACTTTCTCCAACTTCTGATATCTAGACATCTAAAACACAAACTGATTATTTATGTATAATAACACACTGGATTGATAATAATTGGCAAATGATTAAAAGAGTTGTTTCTCTTATTTCATTTGAAGAATCACACAATGATATAAATATTGCAAATTTAATAATAGAAAAACTAACAAAATTAGAAATGTCTAAAAGAATTTTCACTCTCACTGAATAATGCAAGCAATAATAATGTAGTAATAAATCATATCAAATCATCTTTTGCTATTACCCTGTGATGTTGATTCTTTTCATATTAGATGCATATGTCATATTTTAATTTAATTGTGTAAAATGCATTTAATGAATTAGATCAGTGATAGATTGAATTAGGAACATTACTTATTTTCTAAATGCTTTTGAAAAAAGACTTAAAAATGAAAATAACTTTGTAGAAGAAAATATATGAGTGCTAAAAAAATTCCATAAGACGTTGGTGATAGGTGGATTTTCACCTATTTAATGTTAAATGTAGTGATAGAGTATACAAAATTACAAATGATTTTGTGAATTTTTATATTTCTAGTTCTAGTTCTGCTTCTAGTTCTTCCTCTTACAGAATAACTGAAGAAGAATGGAACGATATAACTTGTGTAAAGAATATGCTACAAGTTTTTTATGAAGCTATTCTCCTTTTATATAGTTGTTATTACCCAACTATAAATCAAGGCGCTTTACAAGTTTTTAAAATCCAAAATTTATTTAATATTTAACGCAATCATATTTTTCAAACATGGTTACACAAATCGAAGCAAAATTTAATAAGTATTTTAGACTAATTCCTATTATTTTTTATTTGGGCGTTCTTATTGATCCATGCTTGAAGGATGTTGGGCTCCAAAATTTATTGAACTCTTTATATGGCAATGCGAAAATAGGTCACATTGAGGTGGGTGAGCACCGTGAATCTATTACTACTCTTAGACATCATAACACAATCAAATTTTATTTCAAAAAATTATATGAAGAATATGTAGTTAGACATAGTGGAAATTCTCAAGCTACGACTCCTAATATGGTGTCAAGCTCTTTCCCAAGTTTCATCGTATTCTTATAAAATTGATAGGTAGATGCTAATCAACCAGCTAACTGGTTGTACTGGTAAGTGGTGGTACTGATGGCGCACAGGAAGCATCTGAAATTGAACAATATTTTTCTGCACGTTTACTTAAGGGTCAAAATGGATAGGTATGCGATATTTTGCATGGTGGAGAGTATATTGAACGACTTAATATCATGTACTTTCCATCATGGCTCGTGATTTACTAACAATGCACATCTACTGTAGCTTCGGAATGAGCCTTCAGCGCATTAGGATAGTTGACTGATGACCACAAGACATCATTAGATCCGGCTACCATACAGGCAGTAATATGCTTACAAGACTGGCGAACATTTGAAAAGAAACGTCAAAACTCGACCATATTGCATATATCCAAGATAAGATTCAAGATTTGACAATAGCAGATGCTGCAGTAAAACAAGAATAGAAGGTGCCAAGCTAGTCTAGTTATGATGTACTTATATGTGATAAATTATTTTGGAAAGAATCGCAAATGATATTCACATAGATGGTAGATGCCAACCTAGTTGAACTTAGTTGGGACGTACTCAGCTATCATGATGCGACAATTTCTAAAAAAACAACTTTACAATTGTTAGAGATTATGAGATTATTAATAAAATAGAACTTCTTTGCAAGTTGTTATTTGTAAATACTTCTAAGTTGTAAAATTCCATTTTTTTTTTTGCAAAAAATCTAATTTATTTGATTTTTTGTTAAAAACAAAATATTTAAGTAAAAAAATGTTGAAAATTCGATCGGCCCGGATCTTGGCTCTAATCTGGATCAGACCCGGGCCCAAACAGGGCTTGTAACTCGGCCCGGACCGGAATTTTCGGACCAAGCCGGGCCGGTCTAGCCCTCTTGGACAGACCTAGGACCGGTGTTATGTGTTTTTTTGCTCCAAACCGCCATCATTGGCAAGTATTAGTTCGAGAAATGCTATATGACTTATGTGTCCATGCTTGACATATGTGTAACTTGCTTCACACACAGGCCGCCGCTATCACATAGCCCAATATTATTCTTCCACTCTTATTTCAATCGTGACACTTTCAGAACCTAATATTTAGGAAAGTTTTTATTTTATCATAATTAAAATTATTTTAAATTAACGATTAGTTTCTCGTGATCACATTTTGTGAGATATCAATCATTTTAAACACAAGATCGAGGAAAATAATTGATATCAAAATAACTTCTACATCGTAGAAATATGAGATCTGATTTTAACGCCAAATGTTATGACAATAGAAGATCATGGTGGATGAAAATTGATATGCCCCTAATAGCATAATTATAAGCATATATGAGTTATGGAAATTGTTCAACTTTACGATCAGAGATAATGTGCTTCCCTCACGAAAAGTGATACTCTTGAGTAAGCACTCAAGGAACAATATGTGTCACGCTCATGGCCTGTGAGTCCGTTGGCACAATGTAAGTCGTAAGACCCACTGAATGTAACACGTTGTTTGGTTCAAACCGCTACCAAAATCATCTGAACCTTTGGCTTCACTATATAAACCACTCAATTGTTTAGTCGCCAACGGATGTGGAACTAAAGTTTTTGGGGGCATCGCAATCAAGCTACCTTACATATGCAATGTCATCATCGCAACATGACAATCGGCACATCCCAGTATCACTGTCAGGTGACGTGAACTCTAAAGGTGGTTCTTATAGGCTTTAGAGGTGGCTCCCACCACGCTCACATAGTGTAGCACTTAAGCCGGCATAACACTTAGCTCCACACTTCCGGCTGGCAAACCGTTGTGATACCATTTGTCATGCCCCCAACCCGCGAGCCCATTGGCGCAATGTAAGCTGTGAGACCCTGCTTAAACCACTGTCAAAATCAACCAGCCAATGCTATACTTAACCGTTTGGCTTCACTATATAAACCACTCAATTATTTAGTCACCCACCGATGTGGGACTAAACTTTTTGGGGGCATCACAATATACAACCCACAGTATCCTGTACATGTGAGAATTTATTTCATAAACAAACTGAACTGCTGATAAAAAGTCATGATGATTTCATCCACTAACCAAAGTTACAGTACAGTTAAGAATTCAAAAGCATTGCTTTTTGCTGGAAAAATAAACTGATCAAGCACAGTTCTAAGTGAACCTAGCAATAGCATTTGATTGAAGTCAAAACGGAGACTTTGTGGCCTAAAGCAACCATACAAAGATAGCAAGAGTGAAGAGGCTAAGCACAAGTCCCAAACCAAAGATTATGAATCCAAGAGGTGTGACATGTTAGAGCCAAAACCATGAGGAATATATCATAACATAAGAATTGCACAAAGATATTCAGGTGACAGATGGTTCCTACTTTCTCCTACATAGATCAGGAGCAAGACCCAGGGGGCAAGGGGAAAATGGTTTCAATAGTGCATCTCGAGTAAGGGGACACACTGAAAGACAAGAGTAAATATTTCATTGTAACAGCATGCTCTCAAACTTAGACGCTAACCATGATTATGAACCAAGAATGCACCTATCAGAAAAATATAACAAACAACAGTTTATAAGTTATAAAAGTAATAGTAAATAAAAGCACGTTAAGGAGCATACTTATCGAGAAGCCAAAAACTTCTGCGGTAAAAGCTAGGGTCGTCATCACTCCTTGCATAGTAAACATGGACTCTTTCTTCGTTACCAATCTGGAAAAAGAAAAGAAGGATTTTTTTTAAATAGCTGTTTTATCGAGGAAGGCCATAATGATGTGAAATTTTGAGCAAGCAGGAGTAAGAACAAGAAGCTATAGTCAGATATACTGCATATGCAAGGCAAGAAAAATTAAAGTAAGCACTGGAATTCTACAGATGAAGCTATAGTCAGATATACTGCTTATGCAGGGTAACAAAAGTTGACGTAAGCACCGAACTTCCAGCACTTTCCAGTATGTCGTCTTACAGGTAAAGTGGCAAACTGAACCAATGAGCCAATGACTCCAAGTTCATTTAAGGTTTGTCTGCTTCCTACAAGTAAGGCCGACAGAAATTTAAGTTTGTGCAGGTTTTATCTTCTGTGTTGATGCACGATTCTAGTTAGGACTATGACCATCAAGTTATAAGATGTATGTCCATAACATAAAACGGCTGCAGGTCATCTAGAAGAAGCTCAATCAACAAATAAACACCTTACAAGTTGCCAACAACGTTGTAGATCAACCTGTTGCACACCATCTTGAGGAAACTCATCCTCCAAGAGGAGCTGATACTCTGTGGCAGAAAAGCTTTAATTTTCTTCAGATCCAAC